GCTTTTAATGAAAAATACCTTGTTTTTTTATATTGTCATCATTAAAACTCAAACATTTTTATAAAAAGAAATAGTTTCCTTGTTATATAATAGACATTCGAAAACTATTTCTCATTATTTACCAGATACTGAAATTGTATCCCAGTTTTCTGAAATCTCTATAGTTATAGAGTCTATTAGGTATTTATCGGAATTTTGTATGTTTCCTGTTTGGTCTTTATCAGAATTTTGCATGCTTCCGGAAGTTTGCATGTTATCGGAATTTTGTGTGGTATTAATTAGAATTTTGTATGTTTTTTATTTTTATATTGCATATTTTGCATGTTTTTTGTCTTGCATAGTCTTTATCAGAATTTTGTATGTTGTTGGAATTTTGTATATTTTTCTTTTTATATTTTAATTTTTGTATGCTTTTATTTTGTGTGATCTTTATTGGATTTTTCATATCTATTTTGTATGTTTCTTGAGGAAAACATATAAAAACAACTATGTCTCAAGAGAGATTCGAACTCCAAATTCTCCGACTGCAAGCCGGATCTTCTATTATTTACGCCACGAAGCCATGCAATGAAGAAGTCGGAAATTCCTTGCATTTACCCTTCCTTAGAAGATGGCCTTGGGACGGAGGAGATCCAGTCAGCAAATTCAAGTTATGATGACTTATTCTCTATCACAGTTTAGTTCTGACGTCACTTGTTGAGCGTGTTGTATATGTATATAATTGTTGGGGCAGAAAACATAAGACAAATTAGCCCTGCCGTCGCAGGGATTTTATGATTGCTAGCCGGATATGCTACTATTTACACACCGAAGACAAGCAGTGATGGAAGCCGAAATTTCATTCATAGTATTCGCTAGTGTGAGATATTAATGTATCAAAATGATCGTACTTGATCTTGAGTGACAAGAATAGGAATCTGGATCTGTCAGTTTCTGTCCTAAATAGTAACTTCTAGTGGATATGTGGAAACTGTGGACAAGTGGAAATTTGTTCCCCCTCAAAACATTCAAATAAAAATATAGTTACTATTATTTAGAATTGACGCTGAAAATCTTTCAGTATTATTTATTATTATTATTATTTTTATTACTATTACTTTAGAATTAAAGTTGAAAATCTTTCATTACCGGCACGATTATTATTTTTTAATTAATTATTAATTATGTGATTAATTATTATTATTATTTTTTAATTTGCTGCTTTAAATACAGGGAAAATGGAAGTGAAGTATTTTTTTGCATACGTAACGTATGTAGCGTTCTTGAATATGTAATATATTTTGCGAATGTTTTTTTGCTTGCGAAGTATTTTTTGCATACGTATTGAAAATTGGGTTTCAACCTGGCAATCTTGATTGAAATAATCTTTATCTCCTTGAAATAACTTACCAATTTAAATTATTTCATAACCCCTGCAATATCACGATTCAAAATTATATATATATTTGTTGATATAGATTATGTTTATTTTCTGAAAAACTAATGGACAGATTTTAATGAAATTTGGTATGCATTTACATTTATAGCAAAGAAAGAGCTGTACCATTCCAAAGTCGTCTTATGCAGTCATGATTATCAGTAAAGCTCATAATGCAGGGATGTTCAAAATCCACGTTGTTATATGGAATTTGAAATGACTCTAATATGGGTATAGTCCTCTCTCACAGCCAGACAGGTTGCGCAGAGTGACGGAGTACTGGAGCGAGGCAGTTGAGTCTGTGGCAGCCGATCCCACTTCCGCAGCAAGATAATTTTAAACGTAGGGATGGTTCTCGGAGGAAGATATGAGAGGAAAGTGCCCTCCCAAAAGTGTCTCAGACATGCTCTGTAGGGTTAATATCAGGAGATCTGGCTGGACAATTCATGCGGAGAATTTTCTCAGTTTCCAGGTAATTGTTGACCAACTGAGTCGTAAGAGAACGAGCATTGTCTTTCATTAACAGGAGCCCCTGAAAAGTCGAGCATAGGGCTCTAAGATCTCCTGCTCTCTCACAGCAATCGGAGAGCTTTTGCTAAACATATGCAGAGAAGTGCGGCCGAAGAGAAGACAATCATAATCATAGATGCAGTAGAATGTGTAAATATTTCGAGATATACAGTCTGTATTCTTTCAATTTCAGGACAATTATTTTCAATTTCAGGACTCTGGAACTATTGTAATAAGGCCTAGATAAGGTCATAAGGCATTTAGGTTTTGATTTGTCTCATCTGTATCTTTCTCAGCAGTGCTCTATGATTTTTAATAAAATTATCTCTTGGCGTTATAAAGAGTAAATGTAATTTTGAAAGTCGGCATATGTGCAGAAAAAATATGAGAAAAACTTAAAAAGTTGAAGAATGTTCGCTTTACATGTTAATTTAGGTTTAAAAGCAATTTTTGAATAAATGACAGGGCTTGAATTAATTTAGTGTGTAAGGGGTGACTGTTTGGTTAATCGTATAACTCTCCCCATTTGCACATTCAATACCGGTTTTCTCTTAGTTATGCAGTCTGGTAAACGTTCAGTAGTGTGACTGGTAAGCGACTCCCTGATTCAGAGGATCTAACTACGAATGAGTAGTTTATGGTGATTCGAGGAAGAGAAGTTGATTCTTACATTATTCATCATAGTCAAGGCAAGATATAATTAATTTTAGTTCGTATTTCCTTCTCCTCTTGCACCCAAATTCGAAGTTTACTTTTAGAGCGCCTTCTTAGTCTTAAACCCCTTCTCACTTCAGTACCAATTTACTGCTACATAAGACCTGTTCAGAATTGTATTAATGCTTAAATTTTCAGAATTCATTACATCGGCACTCCTTCTACAATAGTGACTTGGTTTAAGTACTGAATCGTCTCAGTACCTTCTTACCCTCTTGCAAACGTCTTTATTTAGAAATCAACATATAATATAAGTATTTCTGCTAGTATTCAACGAATGTATAAAAACCGTTGTTTAGAGTTAAAAAATAATTTCCTCCAGGGTTAAACTGTATTTTAACACAACTGTTTACAAGAACTTCTGTAGATCTGCTTTCCCACATGTTTGGCGCCATATGTTAAACTCCTCCTCTTTCACACATTTTAAATTCCTTCTAAGATTAGCATACCTGCAAACGTTTCTTTTTTGCAGTTTCAGAGTGCATATGAAGAAACAAACATTACAGGCACTTATCGTCTCCGTCTTTCCAATTTCTGAAGCAAAGACTAATGTAGTATTATAGTTATCATCATTTATTAATGACTACTAAATGTTTACCAACACTTAGTACAGATTTTACTGAAAGTGTTTAAGAGCTTCCGACTATGGCTAAAGAATATTTCTTAGCTCTTCTTTCGTTCAAATGAATGAAGAGATTGGATTTTTTACCCCAATGCCGGGCACTAGTCATTATAGGCATTGGCCACTTTTAAGGCTGGAAGAGGTGCTTACTATATTATAGAGACACCTGTTAGGAGAGTCACCATTGCTTCCTATGAAGGGGCAGACAATTGAAAACCATGCCTTCACCGGGATTCGAACCCTCATCTTCGGTACGCTAGGCAGAGTCACTAAACACTTTCCCGTCTGGATGGCAGAGGTTGATTAGGGTCTGTGAGACAGTCTTGTCCTTCACAATATTACTTTAGTGTAACAACATTAAGAACAATTACAGCTCTAACCAAACAAAACTTTTATTTGGAGATGTTTGTTTGGAGTTAGAACTTTATACTGCTCAGTTGCAGGACCAAATCATAGCTTCTAAAACAAGCTTAGAAGCGAGAAAACCGAGCGCTGTAATAGTGGTATACACATACAGACTATCATCTACATTGTTGAAAAGAAGTGATTTCAAGACAACGAAGAATTCCAGCTTCCCTTCCAAATCAAGCAAAGACCCTTTCTGAAACTAACAGACGAGAGTCATTAAGGGAACACATACACCTTAAAACCCATAAGATGTTCGAATATGTGACTGTTGTAAGAATTGGGATAATTTATTTGTTTTAAAAGCAATTACTTCCAACTTTTTATGGCTGATTACATAATATAGCTGCTTTCTGAAATACTAATCAGAAAGTTTGTGTTGCCACAAATATTTTTATAATTTAATCCGCTTTGCGACACAATTTTTCGTCATGTTTCCACCTTGCTCGCACAGTTTAAAACATTCTGTTGCATAATTTAATTCCATATTTAATATATAATATATAGCTTTTATAACATTTGGAAAACTACTGTGAACCAAAAATTCTAAAAATTTCGTGATCAGTTTTTATTTTATTTGGAGTTGAGTTGAGTTTATTAAAATGTATTTTATTAAAAAAATCTGCAATGTTTTCCTGCATAAAATTTTTAATATTAAAATATTCATCATATTTTTGGTTCCGTTAGAAAATAGTGCCCATATAAAGAATTCCATCGAGTTTCAAGTATATACCATTAGCCATTTTTCAAATATCATGCGCTCAAGGTGGAAACATGACAAAAAATTTTGTCAAAAAGCAGTTTAAATTACAAAACTATTTGTGGCAACAAAAACTTTTCGGTTACTTGTTTCCAAAGCCGCTATATTATGTAGTCAGCTGTAAAAATCTGGAAGTAATTGCTTTTAAAATAAATAAAATATCCCAATTCTTGCAACAGTCACATATTCGAAGATCATAAGGGGTTTAAGGTGTATGAGTCCCTTTAAGCCACACAGGATAATACATAACTGAGTGTACTATTGAAGTAGGTGTTTGAGCAGAGGAACAAGTTAGCAGAATACGAGCATAACAGGTAATGGTTCTGTGTTAAATAAAAACTAAAGATACGTATTACAGTGCTCTCAAATAACAAAAGTGAAAAAATAATATCTAGGTGGAAATGTCCAAATTCAAGACCTCAGTGATCGTCTTCAGTGTACTTACCTTGATAAGAAACGATGATTCTAACAGAACGTTCTGTAACACAAATCGTGGCCATAATATTGGAACTGTTGACAAGAACAGGAATAAAAATATTTATATGTTATTTAAAATTATTTCAGAAAAGCAATTTTGAAAGTTTCAAGACATGTTTTTATTCCGGACACAAAAGTATTTTTCACTATTTTAATAAAGAAGTTTACTTAATATTTCAGTACGATTGAGCTAAGCATATTACACTGGATAAAAATGGGTGGGACACAGTGAAGAATTGTTTCGATGGCATTTTTTAAGGTACTTTGAAAAGAAATCTTTGTAATCTTAACTTCTATCGCAATACTGAGATTTATTTGCGCTTGGTGGGTATAAATGAAAACAAACCAAAACCACCACTTGATTTAGAATTGTCTTCTGATTTGTCTGGCAATTCAATCCCTGAAGTAGTAAGCGCAAAAAAATTGGCTGCAACAGGATTTCCCAACTTCTTCCTTCTTGCGAATTTCTTCGTATTGAAGCTTAATCTTTGAATCGGTGTCATTTCTTTTTTCACTTTGATTGGTTTACGTTGACAGTACAAGAAGAAAGTATACCTGTGATCATCTGTAAAAAATTCAAAGAAAGGAATGAGGAATTTAATATTCATAAATTACTCAATTTTATAAAAAATTGATGTAAACGAATTCCATCCAAAGCTCAATTAAGTGAGTTTAGGACTCTGGGCTTAAGCCTTTTTTTTATGAGCACTAGATACTCACATTCCTTGTTTCAGAAAAGAAATACAATATTCCGAGAAATTATAGAATAGTTTTAAGGCTTCCTAAACATAGGCCCAGGCTTTGTAGGCCTAGGTCAAAATAGACTTTGATTTCAGGCATTCTGTGTTTACTCCACGAATATTGTCACCAATAAACATTTGTTGTCTTTCAAGCAGGTGAAAAGATACTGCAATTAAAATTTCAAAATTATGCATTTCGATATTATTTAGTCAACTTGTTCTCATACGTTATTTGACTATTAATATTATAAATAATATATACTAAAAATAGAGCTCCTTTATTTTACACAGTCCCCCCCTCCCCAATTATTTTTTAGCTTGAATAAAGACGTTTGATCAAAAGCGAATTACTGAGTTTCTCATAGTAACTTTCATGCAAGCCTTAAAATTTCTTACATTTTCTGCAGCCAGAGTTAGATATCCTTATTTTGGTCAGCTGGATTACCTGCAGTAAATGTTTGCGTGTTTTAGTTAAAGATTCAAATTCTAACTCTTATTTACCGATAGTCTATTAAGAACTTGACTCTTAATTGCTTTCAGTTCTTTATGCTAGTACATGGCATTAGAGGTTTTATTTTCCATTATTTAGCCAAAAAATTCTTAAATCTGTGTTCTTTTTATCTGATTTTTCACATTCGCAGCTGACCAACACGATTCTGTTCGATCTTATTGCTACTCTAATATCAGTAAGGAAAGCTATTTTTAACCATGCTAACCATGCTAATTTTTAAGCATTATATTAAATGCATATCATATAGATGAGCATGTATTTGCATAAGTGAGCAAACGTAAACGTTTTCATTTTCTCCTCGTGGAAAACTACTCTATATGGCTAAAAAATGTTAATAAAACCAGTTTTAAATAATAAGAAAGTTTTAAAGGAAAGAAAATAGAAAGGGAGATATTTTGAAGAATTGTAGTTTTTCATCAGGATCAGTTACTATGCTTTTCATAACCTGTAAAGACCTTATTTTATTCTAACCAAATATTTTTAGTTTGACTTTCCTTTCCCTCCTGCTTTCAGTTTCCTGCCGGAATATAAAATTTAATGACGCAGTATGCAAAATTTAAGTGCGTTCAGAAGCAGTATTTAAGATGTGTTTCAAGAGTTCGTGAGCAACAGTAGCAGAGTTAGTTCCTATTTCATGCTGCATTGATTGAAATAGCTCTGTATTCGGTGTTAGCTGCTCTCATCAGATTATATTGATTTTCTAGGCTCGGATTTGCTGTGTGCAGCCGATTTAGCGGTTTAGATAAATGAATCGTTTAGCCATCCCCATTTGTTGTGATTTTATATTTTTATTTTCGGTTCAATTTTATTTAGCCACAAGTGCTGGTGAATGTGAGCACCCAGTGAATGCATCTTCTTAAAATTAATTCAAATAAAATGGTTATTTAAAACCTTCTTCTGCAGTATTTCAAAGACATAGCGAGAATTCTCTGCGCAGTCTTCTACGAAGGGCCTACTGCGAATGCGCCCAAAAAAGACATAGGCTCTACAACAGGGATGAGGCCTTACGTTGGGTGCCAGTTATGTGTTATAAAACATATTATTAATGCTCTATTAGTAATGTTATAAAACATATTATAAATGTTCCATTAGCATAGTACATTTCAAAACAAACATTTTAATTAACTAATTTAGTGCTTATTGAATTCTCTTGCGCGCTTTCGCAAAATTTCTGTGACATCACTTCGAAACAGAAAATTGAAAGTTTCACTGGCTTTATGTACTTCTAATTTTGCATTTTACTGTTACTTTGCTTTTAAGAAAAATAAACCAGACATTAATCAGATTATTTGAGAAGAAAAAACTAACTAACGGTTTGGTATGATGGGCACGAAATAATCTGCAGCGACAGTTCCATCTTCTCCATAGAAGCCTTTAGCCATCGTTTCTGCAGGAATGTTGTGAACAAGCCAGTGTATAAATGTGGGATTTAGCCAAGAATCTGGATCTGCAATAAATAAAAAAGGGTAAACATATAAAAAATATTAGTTTCACATGAAAATTTGTTCCGCTTGAGGATTACAAGCTAAAAAATTAATAGAGTAAAAAATAAATAATAATAAAAAAAAGATGGAAAACGAAGTCTGAAAGGTTTCAGTTTTAATTGTCGCCCAAAAAGGTTTGTTAAGGTTTTTCACTCTCTCGCTGAGTTCGTAGTCCACTAATCTACTGTTACACTCATTCCTACTGACCCACTGTTTTGCCTTTTTAGCAGCCAATAGCATTTGTTCTAAAAATATTTCCTTACAAGGACTTTGAAAGCAAGGTCCTTAAAAGGTTTTAAAAGGTCCTTACAGGGACCTGATTATTATATTATTAAGCATCATTTTATTTGCTCTTACGCCATATACAATTCAATAGTAAAATTACAAAGATTTTAATAGCAGCATAGCACTGTAAGGTATACGTTTAGAATTTCCGATGCAGCAGTAAGTGTTGGTATACAATTTTTTTTCAGTCTTTTCTCAGTTTATCATGTCGATGTTCAGTTTTCTTACTTAAGATGGCATTTCTAAACCTTTTCTGTCTTTTTGTGCTAACGTTTTGTGTGTTAACTTTACTTATTAAATATCACGTTCTTGGTGACGCCGCATAGAATTCGATTCAACAGCAAAATCACAAAAAGTTTAAAAACAGCATATCTTTAGATTTCCGATAGAGAGTCTCGCGCACAGGAGATAAAAATTTTTAGTCCAAAGGGATTTGAGTCCCCGAAGGATTATTACTTTCGTTTTGCCATTTTGCGTCGGACTCTTATAAATGTCGGTTCACTTTTCAAGCTGTTGCCACAAAATGTTAGAGCCCTGCATTATATTTGAAGAAATTAAATAATGAAAAATCTGCATAAATGTATGTATATTTCTAGCATTGTGATAAAGCAAAGGTATCTAGAGCCATCCAATTTTGAATGACGTAATCCTACTGCGAATATGGGAATCTGAAATCCCGAATTTGAAATTTGGAATTTGTTTTATATCGATTTCATATTTTGTAAAACTTTAACGAATTTTTGAGTAACAAACTCAACGATTTAAAAGCGAGCAATGACAACACTCTACGGGGAGGGGGACCTTTTTATCTCTAGCGGGAGCGGAACTGTGTATCGGAAATTCTAAAGACAGGCTCATTTTAAAATTATTTTGCGACATTGCTATTGAACTAAATTTTATGGTTTGTAAAGAACTATAACCTTTAAATAAATAAAGGGTAACACACAAAATGTAAAAAAAAAAAAAAAAAACAAAAAAAAAAAAAAAAACGCCCCTTTGTACGTAATTTAAAATCTGAAACGCTTAATTCCCCCCCCCCGTAGTGTTCCCATTGCTTGCTTTCAAATTGTTGACTTTGTTAATCTAAAATTTTGCAAAACATGAATAGCTAATAAAAAAAAGTAGCTAATAAAAATAGCTAATAAAAAGATATCTAATAATATAGAAATATAGAATATAGAAATATAGATAGCTAATAATAGCTAATAATATAGAATATAGAAATAGCTAATAAAAAAAAGCTAATAAAAAGTAAAACAATATCGAAATTCAAAATTCCGGCTCCAGGTACCCATATTCGGGTGAAGAACTACGTTATTCAAAATTTGATGGCTGATGTTGGTTTTTTCACAGTGTGAAAAACATGCATGCGTTCATGCGGATTCTTCATTATTTAATTTCTTTAGATATAATACAGGGCTCTAATATTTGGTGGCAACAATTTGAAAAGTGATACGCCGTTTATAATGATTCAAAGCCAAATGCCATTTGAGACTAAAAAGTAATTTATTAAATGGTTGAAAGACCATAAACGTGTTCTGATCATAACTGTTGGAGTATAGAACTTGCGAAAATTTAATGAAAAATATAAAGAAATAACATAAAAATTACAAAACCGAATTAAGACCTCTTTTAAAAGCTTTAAGACGAACTTCGAATGTCAGAATACCAAATGAGAGGGAATTATGATATTACTCATACGTTACCATTCTTTCTCAAAACACTAAGCAGTCGATAGCATTTGTTGTAAAACTATTTCCTTACAGGGACATTGAAAGCAAAGTAATCCTGACTAATATATGTTTTTCACCGGAGTACTTTATTTCTAATATTTATAGCAGATTTTTTAACTTAAATTGCAAATGCGTACCAAAATTACCTAAAAAGTAAGTAATTTACTGAGCCGTATTTAAGCAAAGATATAGTTAGAGAAATTTTTTATTTACTATATTATTATCCAAAACTTGGAGCTGAATGTACATACTGCAGTGCCTAACCAACTATTTTCGGAAGTGCAATGAGAATTTTAAGCCAAAAAATATTGGCTTTTGGCAATTTCGTCATCCGTTTCGATTTTCTAAAGGAGGGAAGGATTGTTTTCGTTTTTCAAATGTAAGTTTACCTTCTCCCAAAGAGAATAAAAGGCTATTTTTCAGAAATAGTCTTCCACAAGAAAACATTCTTACGTAGCAGATACTTCCACGTTCGTTTAATCTAACTTCATTAAATTCTTGGGATGTGATGATTGTTTATGACACCCAAACTGAAAAATTTCATCTCGTATTTGACGTATATCAAATTATCACACATTTCAGAGGAACAAAGTTATACTCATTTGAAAACGAACAAACCACTTTGACTAAATTCATGATTTGAATTTTCCCGCAACTCTTCCTCTAGGACATCATAATGTTAAAAGAAGGATAGAAAATATTCAATGTATGACACAATATATAATATATATTATATTCAATATCTATTTTGCGTTAACTAAAAAACCATATAATGTCATTTTCTGATTTACATTTCCTTATATATATGTAATTAATTGGGAAATAAGAGGTACGAACGTCTACGGTTTGCTCTTATACAAAATTCCTGTGGCAATTCTTTGAATAATTTCTGTCTAACGTGGAACACCACCGAATTGCAAGCAGCGTTAGTAAATTTAGTGCTACAGTTTATTACTTTGTTTAAAAAAAGAGGAGCAGATTTTGCTTTCTTACAAATTTCTTGCATGGCAAAAATATCTCATGTACCACTTGCAGGGAAAAGATGAACTATAATATACTCGGTTTCATTTGTGTTCAGAAGGTGCTATCTGAATTTATGTTACCAGATCATTACTACTGTTCTTCATAGATGAATGTGTCAATACGCATCAGTACTATGGGCTGTGACTTTTCTGTTGTATGTTATTTTTTTCACTCTAGAGGTATTACACCAAAGATACAAAGTATATGCTGGCCTTACCGATTGTGATCTCCATAATACCATCATTATATCTGCTATGAAAGCTAAAAGCCTTTAAAACCAAAATCCTATTCCTGGTATACTGCAAATTCTTTATCCCAACTACAAAAGAACATGCTATTGCATGTTTATTAATTTGGAATAAAGCCAAGATAGTTATGAGAGTGTTAAGAAACAAATCTTTATCTTAGTGTGCATATACTTCAAAAAATAATGTATGAATATGGCTTGGGAAGATAGCACGAAATTCCTGTAGGATGATTCGCTGGATCAGTAGCATCCTAGTAGAGTACTTGTATTACCATATGGTAAAGTGCTGGTGTCCCGTACGCTTATTCCTGTCCTGCCCTTAGCGAATATATTATGTTATGCTGTGTGTGTTATTTTATGTAAACGTGTAGGGACACCTATTATTTAGACTAAATAAGTAAGTATTAAATCCCTTACACTACATATGAGTGTTCTCTGGCCTGCTTCATGCTATTAGCGGTGCTTATTGCTTTCCCGTGAAGCTGCACATGCGCATACATTATATCGTCAATTAATTGCTTTGTTTCGTTGTTGCTGAAGCATTTCTTCTGGCAGCCAAGAGCTATTAGTCCCTTTCTCATGGCGTACAATAAAGCCCAAGTGGAGGCTTTATTGTACGCCATGAGAAAGGGACTAACTGTTCATCTTTATTTGCAGCAAATACAGGATCATTATCCCTTCTTGAGTTTACGTTTCTGTTGATGGACTTAAGAGATTATTCGCTTAGTAGTTCCCTAGGTTCCTCTACATTTAGTTATTTAGAATAAAAGAGAGGAACATTACAACGGATAAGAATACAAGAACTTCGGCAGTGAATTGTTTGTTACACCAGTGCATTCTGAAACTGTTGAATGAAGGAAATATTTGTGACACTAATATGATTAACACATTGAAGCATAGCAAAAACCTATGCCAAGCAGAACGTGAAAAGATAATTCTGTGTTTAGGTCAGAAATTTTGCACCTGTCATATTCTTATTGAATAGTGGTGTGAATTTCAGTTTAGTGTTTTACAGTTACCAAAGCAAATTATTCGTTTGGTTCACAGATTCATTGCTTTTTTTCTTCCCTCCCAATCTCTTTTTTATTTTCTACCTTTTCTTTTTTCGAATAAAATAGAGTAAAATACCTCTCAAAGAAATACCTACGTTTTCTGTTGATGAATAATTCCAACAAAATTATTCAAGATGCTTATTAATACCAAACACAGTCTGTGGACAGTTTTTAAAAACATGAAAAATCTCCAAAAGAAATGCAGTACATTTAGATTATTTTTAAAATGAAATTAAGTTATTTTTCCACATCTCTTGCCTGACTATGTGTTCACAGGCAGTGCTAAATATTTGAGCATTTCGATTATATTTATTCCACTATATTATTTTGTAGTTTAACACTGAAAAAAAATTAATTTATATGTTATTAGAATATAAAGATACATTTAAATGAGAGAAGAAACTATTACCAAATAATAGTAAAGTGACATATGGGCATTCTCCTTTAACATCGAAAGTTACAACTGGCTTTGCGCTGACGTGTTTCAGAGCTATTTTTTCACCACATTTCACCCATTCGTTTTTCCCATAAAGTACCTGAAAGACATGAAACAGCAAAAGGATATTAATAATTTTGCCATTAAATTGCTTTAAAAAATAGAAGCAACATTTTGACTATGCCAACACTTTCAAATTACTTAAGATAAAATTATCAAACTTTATCACATGGATTCTGTATTTTACTGACTTTTAACTAAGGTTTTACTCTAATGTTAATTAATTTAATAGCCTATGGTTAAACACAATGTAGTATTATGGTTCTAATGTCTGCGTACAAGATGAACATGTTCTGCATATTGTCGCTAACATAGTTTTGGAGAAATATTATTATACTGTACATTCTTGATCATCAGTAACAAATGCACAGAAAATTGAAAAAGCATATATAAAACGTATATAAAAACATACAAAGGGTTCTGTATTCCGCAAATATTAAGTTCTTCATGTATTTTAAAGGAAAGATATGCAATATACTATTTAATTCTGAATTTTTAAGAAATGCATCTGGATATAGTTGGGGCTTTTATTTCCTTATTTATGTATTTATGTAAAATCCTGTTTGCTTGCATAGGTCAAAAGCAGTGTTGCCACTCTCATTCAATAAATTCAGTACTAACGTAGAGAAACTTTTGGACAGTTTTAGCACAAAATTCATTCCAGGAAATTTTGGAAAAAATGGGTGAATCTAAATTAGATTTCTGGCTACTAAGATTTAATTCAATATTAAATCGAGATAATCGTTTCTGCTATAGAAAAATGATTAGAAATAACTGCTGAAGAAATATTGATTAGAAAAATTATGATAAATGCATTCGGTGACATGATCGACATTTTATGCAAATTCTATTTAGGTGTATTAAAGCTGGTAGGTCGAACCTGCCGACGATAGAGCTGACTGTATGAAGTTTTCATGGTTTTCTCCTCTTGTAACACGAATATGAGCCAATTTCCCTCCGAAAACCATTTATGATAGCATCCATCTCCTTAGAAAGAAGGCTCTTACGAGTTTTGTCTTAACTGGTTGATAACCCATACTATTAAAATTAATTCTTTAATAAAAACATTCTATTACATTAATTTTTTCGATAAAATTACTTTCCTAGAAATTTTGAAAGTTTGTAGAGATATTAGGTATTTTTACCGCGGACCTCTGGAACATTCGCCCAGCGTGCAGACCACCACACTAAGAAGGCATGCCAAGAAGGTAGTGAGAAATACCTTATAAGTTACTATGGATTACTGTATATCAGAATTAAAAAAAAAGTATATCGCACAGTGACTTGGAATTCAACAAATTCAAGATAGGGGCAGGAAAGCAATAAAATGAAAGTTAAAATACTGAGAAAGAAAAAGGAGAAGAAAACAGAAACGTGTAATTCATTACTAATTTAAATATTAATTTAAGAAACTTTTGAATGAGAGTTACATTTTGAAATCTATCAGTTGATTTGCATAACTGAATTATTCTGTAATACACAAATAATTTTATATCGCCATGGAATCAAAATTATTTGGTCATTGCAGAACGATTTAATAAATTGTATTCGCAATTCAGAAATAACTGAAGAAACAGAACTATTGCTCAAATTTCCACCTATGTTTAGGTTTACTTAACTGGTTAATACATCAAAGATGTTAATGCTTTTGATAATTTAATCACTATTTATCAGTTTGGAGACTTTTAAAATTAACATCAGATTAATGACGTAAAGAATGAATTGAGTGTTTGTTCATTTTTAAGAATTAAACTATGCTCTTATTATGTATTATCAACTGCTGAAAATAGAAATGTGGTTTTACAGTCGGAAACACTCAAGTTGCTTATCTCGTTTATTAATATAAAAACTTATAGTAATCATTGATTTTCAAGGCCTGTGCTTAAAATATTCAGAAATTCCTCATTAGCAAAAGTAAGATTTCTTATCCTAAACTCGGATGAAGTATCTTACTTCTTTACATACAGTAAAAGACAATCTGTTTACCGGAAAAACACAAAGAAAAACAAGAAAAACAACTTATTCTGTCACTGAAACGAAGTCCGGGAAAATATCGTATTTTTCAAAGTAGTAACTTATAAGGTGTTTTCTCTCTCCTTTCCGTATGCCTTCGTAGTGTAACTGGAAGCACACTTGATGCGTATTCGAGAGGTTCAGGGTTCGAGTCTCGGCGAAAGAATGCACATTTTTCATACATACAAACTGAACATACAAACTGAAACACATACAAACTGAAACGAGGAAAAAATACAAATGATTCCATTCTTGAGCGATTTAGAACACACTAATACAATGCGGTTAACAGCAGTCTTAGTTAACGACGAGTTAACTGTAACCAAAAAAATATGTCTTCATATATTTATAAAATATATATTTAAGATGGAAAAGTTTTTCGACTGTCGTTATTACACTTGGGAGAAATCCCGCCTTGGATAACGGTTGAGTGCTTTTCCACAAGTATAATCGAAAAGTAATATATTTTCCCCTTTTAACTTATGTTATGATAAGAACCGAAACCACTGTCATGAGAGACAACGATTCTGTAAATATTATTTTACATATATTGGAATTTATACACAGCAAGTTCTGAAAGAGTATGGCTAATTAAAACTTAAGTGTGGCAGGATGTTTTCTGAAACGGTACTCTTAATCCGCAAAGCAATTTTGTATAACAGATTGCTGAAATCAGTACCAGACGATAATTAAAATTTTTTTCTGTTAATAAGTTGCATGATGAAAGTTTTTAATAATTTTAATAGAATTTAACTTTAATCAAATAATTTTAGACTCTTATTTTAACAATGCACAGTTATTTGAAGGAAAAAAAAAAAGAATTCTTGCTACACAAAATTTCAACACGCATTTTTGTCTCATTTTGTAGAAAAAAGATTTTGTTGAAAACTAAAAAAATTCAATTGCGTAATTTCTCGGTACAGTTAAAAACTATTTGAAGAGTTTGTAGGTATTCGTGTAAAAAAATAAATCACCTGCAGATCAGTTGATTCAATATCTTTGGCGAAGCTCGGAATAATAGACATCTTCTTGAAGTTCTCTTTACATCGTCGATCTCCAAAAGCTCCGGTTACGAAAATGAATCCAAACAGGCACTTTATAATTAGGATGTACATCATAGATTTTATGGAAAATATAACTGCCTGTTTTAAACCGATATTAAAATTTCCATATATATATATATATATTAAAGTAGAATTTATTTTTCCATTACATACAACGCCAGAAACAAGGTGTGCTGGAAACTTCCTAAATGAAAATGGTTTTATATATCGAATTGATGTATATGAAAATAAATAGCAGATGGCTGAGTTGATTTTAGCTGTGTAACAGATGGTTTTCTAATATAAATCCGTTGTTATATATTCGTGGATTGCAGATTCTAATGCCATGTTTATTTTCTAAAATTATATTTGATAGCACAGCTCGAAAAACAGACTGTCAAATTGTTATGAGGAAATTCAAGCTTCTATGCTTCGTCATTTTATTGGGCTAAATCAAAGAAAACTTCTGTTATGGATTTAATTTCCCTTGGTATTTTCTCTCTCCTTCCAGACTGCCTTCATGGTGTAACGGCAACACACTCGTAGCGTATTCGAGAGGTCCATAGCCGAATCCCGGCGAGGGCATTGCTTATTTTTCACGTCTCTAGCATAAAAAACTAATGACTCTACAGCGGCGCCCCAACGAAAAAGGTAGTGGGTGATGATTCTTCACCACCACGATCTGGTGATAGGGTCTCCTAATCCGCAGTCTTCCTTTAAAAAGGGGTAGTATATAAGGTATTTTCTTCCTGCTTTCTGCATGCCGTCGTGGTGTAATGGTAGCACACTCAGCGTATATTCGAGAGGTCCATTTTCGAGTCCCAGAGAAGGCATTGCTCACTTTTCATGTCTCCAACATACGAAAACGTAATGGCTCTATAGTGGTGCCCGAAATAAATACTGGTAGATGATGATTCTTCACCACCTGGATTTGGTGACTAGGTCCCCTAATACCCAGTCGCCCTTTAAAAAGAGGAGTACAGAAGGTATTTTCTCCCTCCTTTCTGCATGCCTTCGTGGTGTAACGATTGTAATAATAATGATGGGTGGTATGCGGAATAACCCAGAAATACTGGATAACGTGCAGGATGAAAGGTGTGATCTGGAAAAAAAAATATGGAATTAAAGTAACTTACCTCCCAAAGGATGACACTTCAAATAATGTGAATTACGAGAAATTTATTATATCTTGACATCGTGAAATTTCAAATTAATACTAGTATAAATAAATAAATAAATAAATAAAAAACATCGCCAGACAGAAGATGATAGATCGCGAACTACTGCAGCAGTAAGTATCAGTCCTAACATTTTGAGTCCTAACCTTTCGTGCAGGAAATGCGTGATATTCCAATCTAAGTAAATCTCAGTTCATCTTCGTTACACAAAGTTACATGATAACAAAATTCAATTATTATAACGAAGGAAATTGAGTTGACTGGTTATTCAAATATATTTTTGTAGAAACACAAGGCAAATTCTCGCAACAAGATGCAACACGTGCACATGAATTCCTTTCGAGGGTATCTCAAGTCTTAAAACATCATTAATTTACTGTAGAAGTCAGCATCTAGATAAATTTAGTTGAATCTTCAATACCCATTTTTATTTTTTAGGCAAAATGTATTCTCTTCAAACTATATGGAGATGGTCGTCAGAAAGGCACGAAAAAGAACAAAATTGCAGACATGCATAATCCGCGGTGAGGACAGACAGAAGCCCGTCCTACACCTTCGGCAAAGAATATGTATTGTTAAGAAGGAAAGCTTCTCAACAGCAGGAGTGGCTCCCTCCGAACGAAAAGGGACACAACTGCGCATGCGTGAAATATCTGTCGCCAAAAAGCGCCAAAGCTCGAAGCTGATGTCGAAGTTCGAACAGGTTCGACGGTCACGTTTATCAAGAGTTTAAAGCTGTGTGACTCCAATTTTTTTTCCTACATATTGACAGATATAAAATCAGACATCAAACTGCTATATAGATAATACAAGTTCAACTAGTAAAGCAAAAAAAGCACGAAAATTTGAGTTTAAATTATCGCGAAAAGTCAAAGAACGATTCATCTTAACCAGTGTTCCTCAATTTCCTGTACACGTGGCGGAGGTGGAAAATCTCGGCCAGGTACATCACAAAGGGAAAAATTCTCGCCAACAGGTTCCGTCGCCAAATCCCTTGGCGAATTGTCCCTCTTCTTTCTAGCGGCGTAGAAGACAAACTGGTTTACATTACATCTATGGAGCCTCTCCTTCTTTACAGAGATTTTCTTTGCCTTCGGAGTCTAGCAGCAGAAGAGAGAGAAAACCGGTTGTAGTGGTCAATCTCGCTCTGTCATTGAGCGGTCGCAGTGAACAGACTTGATATTGAATAAATGTGGAGGCTTGCCTGCACAACGATAGCACACTCGGTGCGTATTCGAGAGGTTCAGGTTCGAGCCCCGCCTAAGGCAACTACACATTTTTGACGCCTCCTGCTTCAAAAGATATCCTAATGATTCTACACTTGTATTCTGAAAATTTTGGCTAAGTTTTAAACCCTTATTACATACGATATTTGTTGCCGGAACAAAAGGTTTGGTGGAACAGTTCTGAGAAACGCTCTTTGGCGAAATAGGGTTACCATTTTCACTTGGTAAACAGGCTGAAAGCCAAACAAGAATCAGTTACCGGTCAGATTGGCGAAAGTGACATTTCCTTTCAAGTGACGTTTGCTTCTTCGTGTTGTTTTGTATCGCTCACACTCTTTTCGTTTTAAACTTTATTGTTAGTAATGGAAGATAATAGAAAGGTGATTGCTATCAAGTTAATCACTTTGATCTCCACTCTGGCTCTTCTAGTAACAGATAAACACACTTCTGGTTATAGCAATCAATTACATCAGTAATAGCCAAATTCTGTATACACTAAGGATAGTTTAAAAACGTGTGCTGGATAAGTCTATTTATCAGACATCATTTATGTGTATTTTCTGTTGTCTGCATTTGAATGAAAATTTCATGGCTCACTGGAAAATTTGTGACTTTGTGACCTGATGAAAGCATTTTTTTGACTAACTTTATGGCTCATAATTACTGTTTTGTCCATTCAAAAAAAAAAAAAAAAAAAAAAAAAAAAAAAAAAAACTTTTATATGACAAAAATCTATATGGCTGATATTTACATTCTCACAGCCAGCAGATACTATTTGGCAAAATGAAGATCAAATAAAGCATATGAATACATGAGCAATCAAACATGTGCGAGTTGTTTACTGTCCCATAGAACACTCGGTAATATACCTAAAACACATTAATTATACCAACTCTAGAAATTAGGTGTGCACATCATGAGTTTGTTTTATGTGATTACGGCAAAGCCTCGAGGGATATCTGCCTAACAGGAGGGATCCCTTTGTAGAAGATTTTTTTAAACTGGCTCGTATACCAGTTACAAAAGGGAAAACCAAGAAAACTCCCATGTAGCCACCCCATTCGCGGCATTCTAATCTGAGACAGAACTACCAGTGTTCAACGACGCTTCATTCATTACTATGCCCGTGCACTTAATTGGAAAGTACAATTCATTACGTAAACAGATATGAAGGTGATAATCAGTTGTGCACTGTTTTAAATAATCAAATGTTATAAATGCATAGCTGTTACATTTCTTATTATTTATTAGTCATGGTTATATTACGTAGATCATACATATGATATAATTATGAATTAACCCAATAACAAAATGTGTACACTCTTTAGTACTCAAATACTCGTCAATTATTTTTTCAACTGATTATTACATATCCATAATAATTTGCAAAGAACTGATGACTACAGTTGCTGCCAATTACATGATCGTTATATGAATTAAAAGTAACTTCAAATAAACTTTTTGGCAATGTTCATTTTTGTATTCATACCTACATATACACTGACTACCAATAAGTATTTGGACACCTGTGATAGAAAAGAAAAACTAACTTTATTCAAAATCAATAGTTGGTAGAGTCTCCACGAGAGGTAATTACAGCGTGGACCCTCCGGGGCATACTTTCCACAAGTCTTTATATGACAGCTAGTGGTATTTTCTTTCCCTTGGCTTGGAGAAGACATAGAAGTTCCTTCACCGATTTCGCACGGATAGTGCAACCCTGAATTCGGCGATGAACTCGTCCCAGAGGTTCTCGATAGGGTTCAGGTCTGGACCTCTAGGCAGGCCAGTCCATTCGATGAACTCCATTGGCACCATACCAAGCCTTGGTTAACGTCGAAACATGACAACTGGCATTGTCGTCCTGAAAGCAACCGTAAAACTGCCACAACGTAGTACGCCCATTGCCATCCAAAATAGTGCAGTAGGCATCGTAGTTGAGCTTACCATGAAATGGGGACCAAGGGTCCCAGCCGATACCAGGAGAAACACCCCCAGACCATAATTCCACCTCCGCCGAACTTGACTGTTGGCACAATGCATTCTAGCAGGAGACGTTCTCCAGGTAGATGCCAGACCCAGACCCTGCCATCCGAACGGTAAAGGGTGAACCTTGATTCGTCACTCCAAAGAACCCGTTTCCACTGATCTACAGTCCAATTTCGATGTGCTTTGCACCACATTAACCGAGCAGCGCGGCTGGACATTGTGATCAAAGGCTTATGGGCAGCAGCACGACCATGAAAACCAAGCAGATGTGCTTCCTTACGGATGGTATTCTTTGAAACAATACTCCCGGATGCCTGTTGAAACTCCTCGCAGATGAGGGCCATCGGTTGGGTGCGGTTCTTCCGAATTTCTCTGGACAGCACTCGTTGGTCTCTATCTCCCAGTTTCGTTGATCTGCCGACTCGGGGTACATTCCGACAATCACCGCTCACCTTCCACTTCTTAATCACATAGGCCACTGTCGATTTTGGGTACTTCAGATCGCTAGATATGCCCTTAAGGATCGGCCACATTTGTGATACCCGATAATTATACCTTTCTCGAAATCAGAGAGCTCCGAACTGCGAGGCATCTTGCATGCGACTAAAAAGCCGATGCTGTTTCCTACACGATATATACCGGCGGAGTCCGTGACGTACCTTAGGACCGCAGATATCGTCATTTGCATCGGTGTCCAAATACTTATTGGTAGTCAGTGTATATACACATCTAATAAGTCATATATTTACATACACATAGAGAGATGCGATGGTTTAGAAGTTATTAATATATATTTATTAGTATTAAT